CGAACACAATTCACTCCTTCGATGCTGTGATAGCGCGATACTTCTATTCTGTCGCCTGAAATCAAAATAAAAGTGTCTTAGTCAGACATGTATCTTTTTTTTGTTTGTGTTAGGCCGAATATAGAATGGACATTTTTTTTTGGTATAATTTGAGATATACCCCAAATTTTATATATAATATACTTCTGAATATGATTCTGTTGGATTGCAGTTGCAAGGAGTACCAAAACTTGGACACGTTCTACGCGGTGGTGATGGGACTGAACAATGTGGCTGTGAGTAGACTGAGGGAGACCTGGGAGAAGCTGCCGATGAAGCTGCGCAAGATGAGTCACGAGTTCGAGAACATGCTGGACCCGTGCCGCAACCACAGGTATGTCATTAGTTCTACAAGTGAAGTCGTATATGCTTTTTGTAAGATTATTCACGTGTAGTTTTGTAAAACAACAGTGAATTCAGAAAAGAAGCTTGGGTCATGATAAAAAATATCAAAAATTTTCACTGCTCGGCATGAGAGTCATGCGTAACAGAACAACACAAAACTCACGTGGCGCGAAGAGTTTTTGCAAAACTTAACTAATTAACTTTGCCAAAATCAGCCATAGTTTCCATCTAGAGAAGGAACATAGCTGCTTGCTTGGAGTTTATTTCAAATATAAGAAATTTATTCTAGGCTGTATCGACTGGCTTTGGGGAAGATGAATCCGCCAATCATTCCATTCCTGCCTTTACTCATGAAAGGTCAGTCAATGTGTTCACTATTCAATTGGGCCTGAAAATTGTGGATAAGCACTGCTTTGTATACTCGATTTATATGCGCTTATTATGCTTGCGACTATCAACCGTTATCAAATCGGAATATAGACTTTTTCCGGTTAACAAGTAGTTTAACAAAATCAGTTGAATCAATGATGATGCTGCTGACATGCTCAATTTCATGAAAGTTCAAATTTAGCTACCGTGTACTAGTTACTACTCATGATGTATCTAGAAACATTGTATGTATAATTATAGCGCGTTTTGATATTAATTTTCTACTGATAGTTATTCGGCTTCACGGTTGTCGACTTAAGCTCTGTCGGTTTAGTTTCCTAATTATGAAGTCTACTTTACATACGCTACTTATATAGCTATCGTGAATTCGTCATAAAGGCGTTATATGAATTTTTTTCTCTTCTTTTTTACTATTTTTGGCTTAGCTTATTTAGCTTATTGGATGTCAGGTTAATTCTGTGGGCTTATTTACCATTTTTTCTTTAAAATGTCCAGTAGAACAATAAGACTCTCTTGAATGCCCAAATTCAACCCCACTATGATCTCTTTGAAAACTTAAACAAATTCAAACACGAAAAAAGCACTTTTGTCGTTTTTTAACTTCCTTCAATTTTAACATAGTTCGAAGTTCTGGTTGCCGATTTGTTAGTGTCATGGTACACTCATCCTTTAATTGTTGTATCTCAAGTAGTGCGAAGCTCAGCGTCGCGTCTGTTTTTGAAAGAAGAAATTCTGCAACTACAGGAAACAAATGTTTAATTTGATTAAGTTTGATTTCAGACATGCTGTTCACCCATGAGGGAAACAGAACGTACTTCGATGGACTAGTCAACTTCGAGAAAATGGTGCGAAATAATCAGTTTCTAAATGAATATGAACATATTTCATACAGGAGAAGCACTCATAAGTTGACTTTAATTTCAGCATATGGTTGCGAGCACCATCCGCCACATACAGCATTGTAGGAGTGAAATTTTTAGTGAGTTGCAATTATTATTTCATAATTTAGTCAACTTTTCTGTTTTCGTGATTAACTCATTTGTGATTAGATTTCGAGCCACCAGGAACGTCTCGAAATATCCAAGAGATTCGATCCTACGTCAGGTTTGTGCGAAACCATTCATTCTGAAATCTTCAATCCTAGGCACGAAAAAGTGTTGGAATATCAATTATCCTCACATAATAGATGTAAAGGGTGATGGGTAGTTGCTTTCGCTTTTCAATCTTAGGTGGCATTCCAGCTTGATGGTTGTGTTTAAGAAGTCGATGAGCTTAGTTCAGATTCTTATATAGGCCGTGATGATTTTAAACGTTTTTTTTCCAGGAAAAGTCTTAAACTTTGCTCAGGCTCAAATTTACTTTTTCGCGGTTTGACTTTTGATTTTTGCGAGTGTATTAGTACGAACCTTCTTTTTTTTCAACCTAAGTCGCAAATATTGGTGCTGTTTTTAAGGCGCCCTTACAGCTTTTTCATAGCATGTGCTTTGACATTCTAATAGTAATAAGTTAACACAGTTGATGCTTTTTTATTCATCAAATGAACCGGAAAAAAGGATTTGTTTCAAACATAACAATAATGAAAACTCGATTTCAGAAATTTTTAACTCAATATATCTCTTTTGAAGTGCATAAATTATACATAATGTGGCTTTATGCTTTGCGATTTGTTACATGCAAAGTTAGTGTGGATATTCCAACAGTTTTTTGTTATATTCCAAATTATTACTTGCAAAATTGAGTCTATTTGTATTTGGTGCCACTTTTGCTGAATTTCTTTGGCAATTTATTAGCATATGAAGCTGCTTTATTCGTGACTAGTGTTCGTGCGTGAGACTCAAAGTCTTTTGATTGAAGCAGGTCGCAGATTCGAATTCTGCACGTAGCTGAGTTTTTGCTAATTCGAGGCTTATTTCTACTTCTTATTTCACTTGATAGAGCTGCTTTTTGGTCGTGTTCTCGCAAGTGTTTGCGAAGCGCAGCTTCGCTTCTGTGCAAACTCCACTATCGAACAGCAAAATTGTAAAAGTCATAAAAAAAGTGATCGACTTCTTGTTTCGAAAGTGGAATTTAGTTTTAAGATTTCCCGGCGAAATAAAAGTATTACTTATTGATCCAGTTTTCTCAAATTGGATTAATTTTTTTTACACTTGCGCGAGCAAGTCTCTTGTAATCAGGAACTAGACTTTTTTCCCGTAAACAACTATTCTTGCATTTTTTTTCACTTCTTTTCTTTTCTAACATCTTAGCTCACTTTTAACATCTTTTTCTTGAAAAAAAATTTCAAGAATGAAGGGGACTTGAAAATTGTTTATTTTCGGTTCAACTGAACTCGTTTTTTTTTAAATTTGTGTTTCTTATGTTTGTATTGTATCGCAAGTGGTACGAAGCTCCGCCTGCTTCGCCTCTGCTGTGTCAAAAAGTTTCAATGATAAATTGTTCTGGAAAGTCAAAGGCCATCTAAAGCGAAGTCAAGACTTTTTCAATAGCGAAGTCAGTTTTTTTTCTGTTTACGTGCTTTCAGTGACTTTCTGTTGGCTACGTTCCTATAGACTGATACGAGAAAACAAATGAATTGTAATTCTTTGTTTAGCAATGTTCCATCAAACTCCACCGTTAAAGCTCAACAACTTTTTGTTGATCTTTTTTCTAGACAGTTTTTAGTCATAATTGATTTGTGATTGACTGAAATTACAGATTGGTACTTACGACGATGAAAATGTTTGCTCTTCTAAATCAGTTGAGTTTTTTTTAGAAACCTGAAGGTTATTGACAACCAGAGACTTCTCACGCAGCTGTCGCATCGTCTGGAACCACGCAGTTGAACTTTTTTTAGTCACGGAACTAGTTAATTTCTATCTCTTCACGTGCAACACAAAACTATGCAATACAATAAGCAATTCAAAACCGGCATTCCAAAGTTAGCATTATAAAATCGGTCTGAAACCTTTCAATCATTCTTGCGTGCCCTCAAATTTAATACGGAATTGAATGTGTATCTTTTTCATTTGGATATGAAAATAGTTTAGTGCAATAGTTAATGTAAATCACCATTATTGACTTTTAATATTTTTAATAAATTTTTATCCCAAAGTTACTGATTGAATTATTTAAAATTGTAAAAATTTTGTAAATATTAAAATCTGCAACCGTTTGTTACTATTAGCCTGTTCTGTAAATGAATGCAGATTTGATTGAAAATTAAATGATTGACTGTGTTAAACGTTAAAATCTGAGACACCATAAGAGAAGGTATGATACAGTCAATAAACACTTCGATTTTCGAGCACTGAAGCGTAAGTGCACTATTGCACGTTGTGCAATATAATATGGTTTGGGGGAAAACGGATTTAAAAGTTATTCAAGAATACAGTTTAAACAGTATAATTAATCATCGAATTTGAAGCATAACAACCCAGGGTTTCAAATAATTAAGGTTTATTGCAAATAGTGAGAATTTGACGCAAAGCTATTTTAACGGTCGGCTAATTTTGTCAAGGCTAATTTTGATCTGAAAATTGCATCAACATTTGAAGAAAAAGCTATACTACCATAGGGGTGCCTAACTTTTTAAAAACCCAATCCTACTCGTTCCTACCCCGTACTAACAGTCTTATTTGAGACACTTTTACACTTCAAATGCTTAAAGTTATTGTTGATTTACGAAATCTATTTGAAGCATAACAACAAATTTGAAGCCTAATTTACGAAATCTATTTGAAGCATAACAATTGGAAAAATTCATCGGACTATGTGAAGAAATTTATTCGGGTCGTGTAGTATTTGTATGTTTACTAGCATAAATTTAAATTTGCGCACGCACAAAGTAATTGTAACGAGGTTTGAATTATGATTTTTAAGAGAATGATGTTTCTTGGTTTTTTTTTCAGGAAAGAATTTGTTCACGCTCAATTTTGATTTTTCGCAGTTTAACTGTTGATTTCTTTTTAACTACAGTTCAATTCAATTGTAAAAAAAGGCCAACTCCTCTAGCGAAAGTGTAAAAGTCACAAAAATTGTGATCAATTTAAACTTTGAAAAAGAAATCAATCATCAGATTGCCCATCAAAATTAAAGTTTTACTTAATGATCCAGTTTTCTCAAAATGGGTTAATTTCATCAAAAAAGGGTCAAACAAAATTTGTTCTTGAAATTCATATCTTTAAGAGCATAAGCTTTTTTTTCTTTAAAATTCGCAGGCTTAAGTTTTTTGAAAAAACAAGTCAGTTTCATTGCGTTCATAACTCTTTTCAACGGTCAGTTAGCTATGTTTACACTTGCGATCAGCTTAGTGTGTTATTACTCTTGCGGTTATGAACTTTTTTCTAACCTCGCAAATAAAGTGTTCAATTAATCGGAAACTTCATTGCAGCATTGGAAATTGCATAGCATCTGTTCTCTGTGACCCATTAAGCCTTCGTGGCTGAGTGGTGAGTATTTGAGACTCTTAATATCTAGGTCCCAGGTGCGAATCTCGGACGTAGCCGAAATTTTACTAATTTGAGGCTTATTTCTAATTTTGCTTTTTGCAATTTATAGAGCTGCTTTTTTCGTGTTCTCGCTTGTGTGCGAAGCGAAGCTTGGGCCTTAAGGTTTAAAAATCGCAGCGTTCCTTTCAGATTGATTCCTAATTTTTCTGGATTCTGATAAATATCAACTTAACTTTCGAAAAAGAACTTTAATGTTCACATTTCCCTTTAAAATAGAAGGTTTTCTATTGATTCACTGGTCTCCAATTGGGTTACTTTTATCAAAAAAGTAATAATCATAAACTGTGGCATTGAACCAAGTGAAAAAACGTATTAGAATAGTGGATTTTTTTCGTTTTTTTTTTATAGCGAAGTACTCTTAAAAGTCGTTCTTTTTGATTGCAATTGTAATGTAGTAAGAAAATTGCTGTTTACTATAAAAAATGAAAGCTATTTTTTCCCGTAAACAATTTTTTTTACATTTTTGATTGGAACTTGATAACTTCCAGGTTGTCCCCACTTGGATCGGAGGTAAGGCGGTTGCTCTGGTGCTCTAAGGTTTAGGGTTTCGTGCCCCCACAGAATCTTTTTTTTTCAGTGTATGCGAAATTGGATTTTTTTCGGTAAAAATTAAATGGGCGGATTTTAATTTGTCTGATCAAGTTTTGTCCGCTTTGGTGCCACATCACGGATTTTACTGGTACTGTATCCAAATAAATTGGTAGCTAAAACGGTTCAGGATACATTATAACCCTAGTTTTTTTTCGGCTCAACTGATGTCTGCTCAAAGATTGTCAGCCTGTTCCCCGCTTCGAGAGTTTTGTCCCGTTACTCAATTGAACAAAGCGTACCACTGCAAGATGGAAATAACTAAGTGGAAAAAAGTTCAAAAAACTGGAAATACGAAAAATTCAATCACAGAAACACAGACGAGAAACACAACCACCACAAAGAAGCAAGCTTTAAAAAAAGATTTAGGAGTGTCCATGAAACCAGCAACACGTGGTTAGACGCCAATCGATCCTAAAACAAAATAGTCAAAAGAAATGGTTGTCAAAAAAATTCAACATATTTTTGGAAATACGAAAAATTTTATCTCAGAAAAAAACAGACGAGACGAAAAATACAACCACTAGCATTCAGCAAGCTTTTAGTATTTTCCAAGCGTCCACTCAGCCAACAACATGTGGTTAGACCTCAATTAATCTGAAAACAAAAGAACCAAAAGAAATGGTTGTGATAAAAATTTCAACATTTTTGGAAATACTAAAAATGCAATCTCAGAAAGACAGACCAAAAATACAACCACTAAAATTAGTCAATCATTCAATTTTTTCCATGCGTTTAAGCCAAAAAATATGTGGTTAGACAGCGATTGATCCGAAAACAAAAAAATACCAAAAGAAGTGGTTGTGATAAAAAAATCAGCATAAGTTTGGAAATAAAAAATTCTATCTCAGGAAAAAAGACGAAAGCGGCACTAATAGCATAAAGCAAGCTTTTGGTATTTCTCGAGGGCCCATTAAGCCAAAAAACATGTTTAGACGCCAATTGATCTGAAAAGGTCATACGAAAAAAATTCTTGTGATAAAATATTTCAACATATTTTTTGAAATACGAAAAATACACTCTCAGAAAAACTGACGAAAACACCACTAGCATTAAACAAGCTTTAAATTTTTCCGAGCGTCCACTCCACTAAGCCGACAAAACGTGGTTAGACGCCAATTGAGCCGAAAGCTAAAAACCCAAAGGAAATGGTTGTCATAAAAAATTCAACAGTTTTTCGAAATACGAAAAACTCAATCTCAGAAAAGCAGAAGAGAAACACAACCACCACAATCAAGTAAACTTTTAGTATTTTCGGAGCTTCCGCTAAGCCAAAAACACGTAGCTAGACGCCAATTGATTCGAAAACAAATACACCAAAGGAAATGGTTGCCATAAAAAAATCAACAATTTTTTTTTGGAATAACTAAAAAGCCAATCTGAGAAAAACAGACGAGTAACACAGCCACTACCAATCAGCAAGTTTTTTGTATTTTTAAGCTTTCACTAAGTCAGCAAGACGTGGTAAAACAACATTTAAACCGAAAAGAAATTGTTGTAATAAAAAATTGTGAGAGGTTTTAAAGTTTGATTTTTGAACTTTTTTACTACCAGCCTGCTTAGTTTTAGAAAAAACTTGAATAAAATTTTTTTAAAGTTTATCCCGATGCAAAAAAATCACTAAACCGTCAAATCGGAAGTCGATATTACATAGGCCGAACATTTCTCAGCGAAAAAAAAACAGATATACCAATCAGGTATTGTAACTTTAAAAAACTACAAAAGTCAATCAACGACACTTGAGACTACAATGAAATCTGATTACAGCGCAAAAAGATGTGGGGCAGCAACTAAGCGGACAAACATAAACCGGCAAACTAAACTCCGATTAATCAATTTTTTCCTGAAAAAAAAATAGGAGACATTAAAGAAAACAAGATCCGACCGGTACTCAAACCCTTGACATTAAGTTTCGAAGGCAACTGCTTTACCTCCAGACCAACTGCGATGAATTAACATCTGACTTTTGATTTCGCATCAACCAAAGGTAAAATGATGCAAGCAGTTTTGTTATACTTGTTGTCAACCCGAAAAAAGTCGATTTGATAACGCTAGCTAATCGCAAGCGTAATTAATTATCTTGCATGGTTTGTTTGCCTACATTCCCTGCTTGATAAAAACAGGTATTAGGAAAATGTATGGGATTGGATGTTTTATTTTAATATTTTTGAAGACGCTTTGGTATAAAACTTTACTTATTGCAACAAAATTTGTTTTTCGCAAAGATTACTTTCTCAATTTAAAAAGGGGTAACAACGGAAAGTCCGCTGTGTGAGTGCATAAGTATCTCTATTATTTAATTTACTCCACTGCCTGCAGTCTTCAAAAAAGCTTGTAGTGCGAATATTTGAACCAAAACTATTGCTCTTTTGTTCTCTCAAAAACTATTCGCCCAAATTGGAGATTTTGCGGTCATTCAAAGAACTCCCCATGCATAAGTGGCTACGCCCTATTTTTTAATGCACAAAGTAATGGCTCTCAGAAAAATCAAAGTTTTGATTTTTTGACCACCTTTAAAAAATTTTTGTCTTCTCTAAAATTAACCTCCCAGATCTCAAATATTGGGTTCAATCGAAATATAGGGTTGTGAAAAGTGGCCCTGCGCAATCAGCTACGCCTAATTTTTCAAATAAAAATCTATGAACCTCAGAAAAATCAATTGTTTTTACTGTTTTTTGAAACTATTCAATTTTTCTCGAAAACGATCATCTCAACATTTTAGGTTTTCTCGAAATTTGAGTTTTTGGGTTTAATCGAAATAACAGGTTTGGTGAATCTTCTGGGAAAAATGTTTTTTGAAGAAATCCTAACTTCGATTTGTTGACCGTTTTTGCAAAATTTTTTGACTTTTCTTGATGACTATCCCACCAAATCTAATATTCAGAGTTTAGTCAAAACAATTTTATCGAATCTTTTTTGCAAAAGCGACTACGCCCTATTAGTTTCAGAAAAATTTATGGCCTTCTAAAAGGTCATATTTTTTAAACTTTGACCGCTTTTGGAAACTTTTTGCTTTCACTCAAAAACTACTCCGTCTTTTTTTACCTTAACTGTTCTATCGAAAAACCCGGTTTTGGTAAAGTAATTTTCTCTGCTTCAGCTGCCACGACCTATTTTTCGCAGAAAAATG